GGTCGGACTAGATGATCTTCTCAGGTCCCTTCCAACCCTAGAAACTATGAAACTATGAAACTATGAATGGCCACAAATTGATGGAGAGCAGATTTAGGTTGGACATTAGAAACAACTTCTTCACAGTAAGGGTTTCCAGAATCTGGAATGGGCTTCCAAGGGAGGTGGTGCTCTCCCCTATCTTGGAGGTCTTCAAGAGGAGACTGGACAAGTACCTAGCTGGGGTCATCTGACTCCAGACTCTTTCCTGCCCAGGGCAGGGGGTTGGACTCGATGACCTACTGAGGTCCCTTCTAACCCTCATATCTATGAATCTATGAATCCTTTGCAGGTGCCCACATTAATTTACCAAGTGGCAGGGATAATGCCTCATGACTGTCAATAGTCAGTTTGGCAGTGGGAGTGGAAACAAGGTCTTTTACCATCAACACATTTTATTTTTCCCAATTCCTGTTACCAGCTACTGCATGTGCTGGAATTTTAGGACATGCGCCCAAAGCACAGACACCAGCACGAACTGGAGCTGAGTGAATATGTGAGCACTGCCACGGGCAACAATGGTCAAGAGAGGGCATGATGGAGGCTTTGGTGGTGGCCTCTGAATCATGAGTATGGGCTGCGGGTGATCAGTGGGATGAAATCTGCAAGGTGTTCTAAAAGATTGAAGAGAGAGAGACAGCAGCTCACCAGGACATCATGGCCAACACAAAAAAAATGCCTTGACCTGGCCAATAAGTTCTGTCAGACTGTTAAGCGGAGCTGGTGGCAGGAGGGAAAGTTTAGACAGGAGCTCCTTAAATCCCCATTCATGAGCATCCCTCTCCCCATACTTAGAGACCCCTATCTGTGATCAGCCCCACAAAGCGACAACCTCAGTGACAGGTGCTGTGCCTGTGAGCAAGGAGTGCCCCATCTCTAGCAGGACGAGGAGAGTGCCAGTCTGCTTTAGGGACCAAGGGAAGGGTGAGACAGAGGGGGCATGGTCAGGGGTGGGGGGAAGAAGAACAAATGATGGATGATGGGTTTTTAGTTGTTGTGTTTTGTTGATGCTTCTGTAGCAAATCGGGGGAGTGGGCATTGTGTTCCTTCTTTTTTTCAGTTCTGCTTTGATTTACTGACAATAAAATAAATGCTTAGGTGAAATTAATTTTTGTCCATATCTGTCTGCTGACATGGGAAAGGAGGGATCTTGGGGGGCAATGGCTTTCAAGGTCCAGGATTTCAATATTATGACCAGAAAAAAACACATCAGGCAAACCAACGCCACTTAGTGGTGAGATGTCCCAGAGTTTTGCTAGGGTGGGGAGTGCTAATTGGGTGGGGAGCACTAATTAGGTGTGTTCTCCAACTGCATCAAGCTAACCAGGGGTCAACAAACAACTTCCCCACAACCTTCCACAAGCTAGCAAAACCCCCCTCCATCCACATTCCCCCTTTAAAAATAGACAGCATGAAGTGAAAAATCCAACAAAGCACGTAGCAAGTAGACACCTTTATTTACAACCAACAAAAATAAAGAAAGGAAACAAACCACAGAACAACTCTTAAGATAATGACTCATAATAAGTATGAATTACTATAATGGTGCATGAACAGTTAAAAAACACAATGACAATAGCAGTGCCATTACTATAACAATTACTATAATGACCCACTTACTATAACAGCACATGAATTGTGAAAAAAAAATCAGTAATCAATTCTAACTAAAAGAACCTGGCCCTAAGGTGGACTTTCATTCAGAGGTTGATAGAGAACTACTGGATCGCAGAGTGTGGATCCATGCTTGCTGTTGCTGCTCCCTGGCAGGGGCAGGTGCAAGACTGGGGCTGATGACCACCAGGCATAGAATCGTTACCAGTATGACCATCAGTATTTGCCAGTCCAGCTGGGTCTCAGAATGCCTCCTGGACTCAATGCTGTTCCTTTCATACTGGAAGGCCATGATGCTTCCTGTAGTATGATGGACCTGTGTGACCAGCTTGCGTAGCCGTTGCTTGCATTTGTTGAGGGCAATCACCAGCCGGCTGGTTTGTGCATCAGCTGCAGCCTGCCTTGGTTGCCTGTGTGTCCTTGATGGCAGCATTGGATTCAGAGCTGAAAATCAAGAAATGCGGGAAATAGTGTGAATTAAGGACACTTGCAGCTCTCAAAAGATGCACTCAGTGAATCTTGTGAGTGGAAAAGAAGCATTCAGACCAAAATGACTGAGAAAGTGTGCTTGGCCATGGTGGGTAGCAGGCTGTGAGTGGCTGTAAACAAATGCGATCCCACTGCAAACAAGTGGCTGCAAACTAGACCTCCCTCCACTTCATCTCCCAGCCCAGCCTAATCACAGCTGTCAGTTCAGGTGACAGGTGACTATAAGGTTTCACAGGGCTTCACATACTGGCTGTGGAGGTTGAGCTCCTTGGTCTCTCCTCAGAGGAACCAGCAGGTAACATGACTGGGACCTTTCTGCTATCTTTTCCACTGGAGTCCCTGGATCCCCTGTGACTCACAGCGGTGGTTGGCAAAGTGTCCACAGGTAAGGACACACCAGAGTCCTCTGCCTCTCAGCGTTCACACCAATCCAGTTCCTCCGTTAGTGGCTGGAGGTACCTGCAGTGGGCCACATCATGCAGTGGGGTGCCCTGGTGCTGTGCTCTGCTGACATCCCTGTGGAAGGCAGCCCGCAGGATTTTTGCCTTGACTTGGCACTGGAGTGGGGTCCTGCTGTGCCCCTACTCTGCCATTCTTGCAACGTCAAGGTAGTCGGCCCACGGGCTGCAGAAGAACTGGTACATGACCTCAGGGTCCCCCAGCACTTGTACTAGGCTCTTTGTTTTGACAATGATCCAATTAAACCTAGACCTACATGCCCTGGTCTGCTCTGTTCTCTGCTGAATTCCAGACATCTCGGATCAATAAGGGGTACCCCGGGGAGCTGTGTGCTCAACTTACAGGTCTTGAGTTGAAGGGAAGTTCACACCCCTCTCACCCTGTTCTGTCTGCGCAAAGTTTGGACAGCAGACATGCTCTGTAAGTGTTGCAACTTTTGGTGCCAATGAAAGGTGTTCACCTGGGCTATGCTGGTGCCTGGCAGGGCCAAGCCAGGGATGGGTGTGCACAGCAAAAATCCCGCTATTAATAAAGCGGGAGTGCTTAAGGCTCATGATCATGGTTCCAGACTTCGCTTGTCAGGTTCATGTAAAAACAGTGAGTGAATTAATGGCACTAGGGAGACAATTGTACCACAGCCAGGCACAAAGGGATGGTCTTTGGAGGTGGAGGGTGGGTTGGCACAGCAGTTACTCATGGTGGCTGGCAGGAAAAGTCTGGGAAGTTTAGCTATGCATGCAAGTCCTCTCGCAAGTTTTTCTACCAGGCAACTGGGAGATTTTGGCACCAGACAGGATCAAGCCAGGGATGGGGGCTCTGTCTGCAGCCATGGCAACTCAGTATATCTTATGGATGTGCTCGTTCTGGACGTGTTTTAGCCCTGCTGTGTCCTGGAGCCATGCGTATGCCATGGCTCAGTATCAGGCTGCTCAGTGAGCAATGTGTCAAGACACTGCTCCCAGCAGGACATGATCTCAAATGCGGAGCATTTGAGAAATGGCCAGTGAGGGAATTAATGGTGACAGAGTTCACCCACTAATCATAAAGTGGGAGTGCTTAAGGCTCATCATGATCAGGGTTACAGAACTCCACTTGTCAGGTTCACTTAAAAGCAGTGGGTGAATTAATGGGATATGGGGGACAATTGTGCCACAGTCAGCCAAAAAGGGATGATTTTTAGAGGTGCAGGGTGGGTTGTCACAGGAGTTACTCATGGTAGTTGGTGGGAAAAGTCTGGGGATTTTTGCTGTGGACTTTTTAGCCCTGCAGGTACTAGCATGTAGCTTACTGCTGGGATGTGCCACTTCCCTGCTGCACAGTCTGGAGGCTCCTGGCCTGGATTGCATGCACAACCTGAGCTGCAAAGCTCCCTGCACTGGCAGGACCTGCCCTTTGAGCCAGGTGCCAGGGGCTGTACAGAGGTAGATGGTCCCTGAGATTAACTTTGAAATCTATCAAGCACTCAGCAGAAAAAAGGAAGGTGCCAAGCAGAAGATTGAATGGATGAACCACAAACCCCAAGAGTGGGCATTGACCCCTCCTGGCTGAAAGCATCTCCCACACCAAAACCACACCAGTGCCCCCTCAAGGGAGCTCCCCACCACCAACAGCAGCTGCCATCCATGACTGATACCTCATAGATTGCTAAAGCACTGCTAAGCGTACCCAGATTGAAAAAACAGAAATTTACAACAATAAAACCTTAATTCAAATATAATTTAATACAAATACAACAAAACAGAGAACACATAAAAACTGTCAAATGGCCACTCTGTTACTAGATTTGCCCATCACTTAGGGGTGTGTTCATTTATTAGGGACACAGTTCTGGGGTCTCTGTAATTCTATCAGTGTGCTGCTTGTGTTACTTGTGTTCTATATGGAGCTGTATCTCTCCCTTCTCCAAGTCCTCAGCCCCAATGGACCTATCTTGCAGGACTGAGTCTCAATGGGGCTGGGTTCCTCCAACCACCAAATCAGTCAAACACATGTACGCACATACACACACAGATCAATAGGACACGCCTGAGCCAGGCTGGGTTATTCAGCATTGACAGGCTAACACCCTCATATGCCTTGAACTCAGTTCATCAAGGCAACAACAAATGCAGTCAGACAGAAACACACGGGTTGACAGAGCGCATCTGAGTCAGGCCGAACTATTCAGCATTGATAGGCTGACACCCTCATATGCCTTGAACTCAGTCCATCCCTTATTTCAGCAGGACAATAATAAATGCAGTTAGACACACATACACACACACGTACGTCTGAGCAGGCTGGGTCCAATCAGCACGTTCAGCCGATACCCTCATGTACCTCAAAACTCAGCACTTCACAATCTCTTGTCATAATTGTCCTAGTAGTAACTCCCTTGATGAGCAGACCCCACTGTAGTTTTGGGCATTACAGGGATCTTTGGCTTAGATAAAAGAAGTGTTGCTGCAGAGCAAATGGGGAGTCCAAGGGGGCGAAAGAGTAGGTGAGGTTCAGAGAGAAAGTATAACAACCAGCTTGACCAAAGAAGTTATTTATTGCCAGGTATATGAACTTATGATGATATCAGTAATAATAGCCGTGCAAGAGAGAGACAAATAAAGAGTTACAATATTTCATCATTTCAGTTAGGTTTTTGGGGAAGTCTAGCTTGAGTTTGATTAGTAGAAATCAGGTTTAGAAAGCTGTGCCTGAAAAAAAATGTTATAATGCCTGCAAGCTAGTATGTGCCATCCTGACAGTGGGTGCACACTTACTGCTTTTAATCGCAAAAAAATCCACATTTGGCAGCCCACATAAAGTGGGCCATCAGTTATTAATTCCATGCATTAACCCTGAACCCCGAACTAGGGGAACAGGATACACCTTTTCAGCAAAGGTAATTTTTATTCTGTAGAGTGGTTTATATAATTGCGCTGAAGGGCTCAAAGTACACCACGCACTGCATTATTCCCGATAACGGAGAAGGAAGCACATACAGCAGACACTGGTCAATCTCTAAAAGACTCCAGGATAATCTCAATCTGCAACCCCCAGCATACCCTGGGGACCTTTGGACACCCACCACACCAAGTGACATAGGAGATGATAACCATAGATTGGTGTCTTTGAACTCTTTAATAAAAGAAGGTCAGCAGAAGATTGATTCATTTCAGGTTCTGAAGTTACACCTGGTGTCCTAAAACATTAATTACACGCAAATACGTGCAAAAAGGGGGATAACTACGCAAAAATTGTAGCAACACCCAATAGCCAAAGGTGCTTACTACACAAAAATTATAGTGACACCCTATGATCAAAGGGGCTCATTATGTGTCATTCAGTGAATTGCCATGTACATGTGACAGATTAATGGCTGCAATGTTGCCAGTTGCAATGTTGCAAACGAAACTACATCAGGATGCGGTTTATTTTGTAATGATGCAAACTCATTTAAAACTCCCAAACCTTGCATACATGTAAAGTGTGATGCCATTAAGCCACACGAAGGGATATTTTCTTCATGTGTACAACGTTGGGGCGTCACATGTACAAGCACCCTAAAAGTTCCCACAGATCCCTGCTGCACCAGACTTTTTTTTTTAAATTGTCACTATAATTAGTGTTCCCTAGTGCATTCTCTTTTTAAGTGGTTGAATTCCACATCTATTTTGGCACACAGTCTGTAAGGAACTGGCTCAGCTTTATGAAGCTTGGTCTGGGCATTTTCATCTGTCATTCTCCTTGATGTATTTTAAATTCCCTATGCCTTCCTTGAACACTTTGGAGGCCTGATTTAATATCGCTCCTAACTTTTGTTTAAGTTTCTGCAGGGACTTTTGAAAGTGCCTGAAGCATCTTTACACAATTCCAATCTAGGGGAATTTATCTTAATCACTCACAACCCCACAGAGGGGATCCCCTTTTCAATGATGTATAAATCTAAGAGGTGCTGCTTGTTATTATATTCTGTAGGCACTGAATAAACCCTTTGGTATGCTCTTCTCTCCTGTGTATGTTTTTAATAACACCAAGATGTCCTTTAATTTAATATTTTAAAGTTTTTTTATACTCAGAATATGAGGTAACAGATAATGCAGAGCCTGTATCCAGCTCTGTTTGAAGGTTTTTCCTAGAACCTTTGGTGTCAGCCAGATTGTCTGATTTATCAGCCTTGTTTCATAATACAGGCCCAGGCTAGCTACTGCATTCTCATTGGCCATGTCACTACTGTTCCCATGTATTACATATCATTTTCCCCATTTTTTATACCTTACTGAACCCTTTTTTTCATTTCTCTTATCTGGGCACACTTCCTGGATATATTTTTACCATACCTTCAGCAGTAGCATTCCTTAAGACAGCAATTAGTTGGGGTGTGAGACCCTTTTCCACACCAATAGCATGCATCAGGCTGTGGCCTGCCCAGGCTCTTCCAGAGCAGTATGCAATGTTAAATATTGCATATTTAATAACTCATTTGTTCCTCTTTTCATAGGCAGGCCTGCATGCAATTCTATGGCTTCCTTCATGGCAGTTTTTTCATAGCTTTTCTAATTTCAGCAACATGCTTAAAGGTGAGGTCTTCCTTTGTTAAGAACTTCCATTGTGTGGCTTCATTAAATAGCCCACATAAATCTTTCTCCGAGGGCCTCATTAAGTCCATCTTTAAAGTTTCGGTGGGCACATCTACACATACCTGCATGGTGCTGGTGTTACTGTACCATCAATTTGCACTTCCTTTTGGAAGTACTAAACGAGGGCGCAGTGACAGTCCATACTGCCCCCATGCAGGTTGCGCATAGTTATTTTTAGTTGCTATGTCACTATAGCAATGTTGTATAGCAAGGAAGTGTGTTGCTACAGTGACACAGCTGTGGCATCACAGTTTGTGCCTGCCGACACTACGCCTTAGTGCGCTGCTACAGTAATGTAGTGTCTTGTGTAGACGTGCCCAGTATTCGAGTTCTGTCACCAAAGAGGAAATAGATTCATCAGCCAAGTCATTTCTATTTACAGAACCTGCAACTTTCTGCAATAACCAGTGGCTTATGTGCCAGATGATCTGGGAGAAGTTTTATTAATTCCTTAAAGGTTTTGCTTACTGGCTTTTCTGGGTGAGCATGCTGAATTTGCAGTTAGAGCAGATTCTTTTTGTGACTTGAAGGTGTATCTCACTTACGGCATGACATTATCAGCTATGTTTATCCCAGGGCCTTTATACCTATGGACCTGCCAAAATCATGATTTTTGTGGATTTTGTGGAGTTTGTGAAATCCAGCATTGCCCGTGAAATAGGGCAATGCTTATGAAATCTGTGAAAAAAAAATTACTGAAAATAAAATGCTGGCTCCCCAGAGGGAGCCAGCAGTCCTCATAGTGCTGTCACCCAGTCACATAGCCCACCAGGAGGGAGGAGGCCTGCTGTCACAATAGGGAGACCAAGATGGCTGCTTGTCCCACCCCTCATCACTGATTGGCTGATGAGGCTGCCGGTCATGCGCCCCCCCACCCCAATCTGCAGTGAAGGGTGGGGTCATATGACAGACAGCTCTCTTAACCAATCAGCAGTGAGGGGCAGGGCCACCAGGGGCCCTAGGCCAATCAGAGGCTTGGGGGCCCCCTGTTGTGATCAGTCCATGAAAATGGTGGCTGGCCCTGCATTCTCTACACAAAATCAACTGGCTACCTTCTTGAGCTGTGTAGACCCCTATTCATAAATAAATGACTCCAGCCACAAGTCTGGGAAAGAGTGCTGCCAGACTACCAGGCACACAATATATTGTAAACCTAAAGTAAAACTATCTATGCACTAGTATTAGCAGATTAAATAAAAAGGAACTTTAGATTCACACATGCAGATTCAACACTTCCACATATTTCACAAAGACAAACTCTGCTTTCTCTTCAGAGCAATGTGGCCTAACTGCCTGAGCCTCAGCAGATTGGGTGCCTGTGAGATGACCTTGGGTAAATCACTACACCACTTCATGCCTTGGTTTATCAAATGGTAAAAGGGGCAAAATGGTATTAATAGGAGTGTCTCTTGCAACAGGAGTGCCATTTCAAGCAGAAATACTTCTGCCTTAGTGGCATCAGTGGGTGGGTCCCCACAAGTGTGTATGTGCACGTGTTTGCTGTGCTACTAATTAGCAGTGTAGTGATTTTTTTGTTGACATCGGGAAATCCTAAAAAAAGCAGTGTGGTGCACATGGCAGCAGTGTGTGCCACCAGAGCGGGGGTCTGGCCAGCCTGAATCACTGTTGCTGCTGCCCTAAGGACCTCACATAAGGCTTCTGGGGCTGGGCCGGGGGCAATTTGCTGTACATCATAGTGCGCATGCAGGAGTGTGCCCAGGGACAAATAGTGCCTGGGCAAATATACTCATTTGACAAGCTTTAGTTTCAAGCACCCCTGCTGCCATTTTGAAGCACAGGGATGGTGAATAGATGTGACAGAGAGGCTGCTGGAGCAGATTAATTAACATGCTCTGGCAGACTTGATTAATCAGTTCTGCTCCAGTGCATGATAATTAGCACGTGTTGGAGCTGTGACATGCTGAATCCACTTCAGGGTTCTGGCATGTTGCATTTAGTCCCCAATTCTGGCCTGTGCTTTAATCCACGGCCAGAGAGTGTCTATAATGTGGAGTGGATGGGTCTTCCTAAAATGCAGCCTTTTTTTTAAATTTGGGGTGGGAAGTTGACTGGGGTGGCCATGGCTCCTCAGAACACAGTGCACAAGGAAGAATGGGCCTGGCTGTATCCTGTATACTTCTGGGGCTGGGCTTTTGCCTATGAGGCAAGAGTTCCAGGCTATTCATGGCCTTTGCTGTCTAGGCAGAAGGTCTTTTTCAGATAAGGCTAATCCCCACCTTCCCGATTTTGGGCCATCGTGACCTCTCAGACCAAACTGTATGAGAAGTCCAAGAAAGACTGAAGCTTAACTCCGTACTTGGTACTTGGTGGCTGGGCCTTCAGTGGGTAAATGAAGGGTGTGAGTTCAAGGTTGTCTGTAACCACTTCTTTTTGAGCAGAAACTCCTCTTTGCTCTGCTTAGGGGCTGCAAACTTTTCCCCCCTGACTCATTCATAGCTCAGATGGATTCCTGAGGCCACCTGACCAGTGGCAGGTGGCCGGGGTACAAAGCTGTGGGCTACATAGAGATGTTGTTGAATCTCCATCCCTGGACATTTTGAAAAATAGCCCAGACAGACACTTGGCTGGGATGGTTTAGTTGGGGACGATCCTGTGGTGAGCAGGTGGCTGAACTAAATGGCTTCGTGAGACCTCTCCCAGCCCTTCTCTCCTATGATCTTATTTAGGATGGATTTTGGTTTCACACTTTATGACCCAATCTAAGCTAAATTTCAGATTTACATAGGATATGGCTATTTTGGTTTTAGGATCAGAATTTATGACTTGAAATACCAAATACATTTCACTCACTGAGCTGTGGAACTTGCATTAATATGCCCCAAGGGCAAAATGTGGCCCTCTATTTTTAGTTAAGCAGAAAAGGGTAGGGAAAATTTATGATGGGGCATTATTAAAGTCTTGATTGCTTTATAGCTCAATTACCACAAATGCTCTGCTGCTGGCTGAACTGTAAATGAAGATTAGCATGCTTTGATGAAACTGAAATTGAAAATCTAATATTGATGAGAACAACCTAAGGGTTCTTCTAAATAGTGAATAACATTGAACTGCAATGTATTCCACAATGCTGGTATTTATCTATTGCACTTAATAAGTATTTTAATAAGATGCTGCATCAATT